ATTAAATTATTTTTACATTGATATATAATTTTATGGTACTACTCCAAAAAAAGTGGTGTTATTAGCCATCAAACCTCAAAAATACACTCCCCCCCCCCCCCAAAAAAAAAGTTTCCACAATTTTGGCCACTAACTGTAAAGAAGGTGTAAAATATCCAGGATCCATTACAGGTAGTCCTTGATTTACAATAATTTGTTCACTCTCCGTTCAAAGTTACAATGGCACTGAGAAAAGTGACTTATGACCATTTTCCCCACTTATGACCACTGCAGCATTTCCGTGGTCCCGTGATCAAAATTTGGTGACACCCAGAAATGACATCTCCCACATGTGCAGTTCCTGTTGTGTTCCCTTTGTTTTCTATAGACAATGAAATAGGAGGGCTTTGTCACTTCCGGGGTCTGTGTGTTGAAGGTGTTTTTACTTCCCAGTCTACATTTTGGAGGCTTCCTGGTGGCCTCATTAGGACTGGTTGACATTTTGAGATCAGCCAGTGTAAATAATAAAGTCATTGCAGTCATAACTGCACTAGTGAGTTGAACTTTCAACTTTAAGAGACTGAGCCTCCAAAGAGTCCAGATCAGTGTTGATTAGGGAATTCTGGGAACTGAAGTCCACATATCTTAATGTTGCAAAGATTGAGCTTTATTAGTTTAGACTGTTCAAAAAGCATGCTGGACTTTTTCTGGCTGAGCCTAATGGGAGGTGACGGGGAAGGCCTTCTACTTTCCAGGCAATTAAATATCTTGTGCTCTTGGATCCAAAAGGGGGTTGGGGCACCTTACTATTCTCAAAATAATGTCTCACTTTGGAAGGCTAAAGATTAAGCCAAAATGGACTTCTGTCCTCTCTTCAGTGGTGGGTTGTAGGCGGTATGCCCCCGGTACAGGCGTACCGGAGTCAGCCCGGAGCACCGGATAGCGTTCTGGTACGGTGCTCTGGAGGGCCCACCCACCCGAGCTCCTTACTGGAGTTTAAAGGTTCTGTGCTTCCGTGCACACGGCTTGGTGCGTGTAGTGCCTGTGCGACGCTCTGCGGAGCAGCTGGAGCGTTGTGGAGGCGCCTGAAGCATGCGTGCGCTGCGTGCGTCCATGAAGACGCTGCCGGCCCCGTTCCAACCGTACTGGTTAGAACGGGATTTGCAACCCACCACTGCTCTCTTCCATTACTTTTTCTATCACCCTATTCCCTGATGCTTTTTTGTATAATCCCTACAACCAGGAATGCAAAATGGCTGCTACTGTTTCATGTTGGGGGCTTTCCCAAACTTGCTAGCATGCTGGCTGGAGGATTCTGGGAGATGAAGTCTACACATGTTAAGATAGGCAAATTTGGTATGAATAGATAGACGATAGGGATAGATCAGGGGTGTCAGACTCGTGTCATGGTGGGGTCACCTGATGTATCGGGACTTTTCCCCCCTTCACTAAACCGGGCGTGGGCCAGAGGTGGTATTCAGCAGGTTCTGACCAGTTCTGGAGAACCGGTAGCGGAAATTTTGAGTAGTTTGGAGAACCGGTAAATACCACCTCTGACTGGCCCCATCCCCATCTATTCTCTGCCTCTCGAGTCCCAGCTGATTGGGAGGGAACGGGGATTTTGCTGTATCCTTCCTCTGCCACGCCCACCAAGCAATGCCATGTCCATTCAGCATGTGACACATCCGGCCCACTGGCTGGGAGATATATGTATGTATGTATGTAATGTATTTATATGTATATATGCATGTATATATACACATACACATGCACACACACACACACACACACACACACACACACACATATATATATATACACACACACACACATACAGTATATACATACATACATGCATGCATACATACATATATACACACATCCCGAAAATAAGGCAGAGTCTTATTTTCTTTTGACCCCCGAAATAAGCACTTGTCCTTATTTTCAGGGAGGTCTTGTTATTTTTGAGGTGCAGGAGGCGGTGAGTGTGGTCACCTCATGGCTGCTGCTGTGTGGCAATGTTTTCGGGGACAGCTTATTTTCAGGGAAATGGGGTGGGGGGGAGAGAGAGATGATTAATAGATATACTGTAGATAAAATAGAGATAGACACACAGATGAGAGAGAGAGAGATTAGATAGACAGCTAGATGATAGAGATAGACAGGAGACAGACAGATATGAGAGAGAGAGAAAGAGAGGGAGACAGACAGACAGACAGATCCTTCCTTCAATCTGCTTTACCCAATTCATGGAAAACCAGACAACCCCACTCATTCTGCATCTCCCTCCCTAGATTCATAGTTCCTGGCTGCCAAGATTGCCAATTTTTGCCTTGTTGATCAAAGCAGGCAGGGAGAGTTGAGCCTTTGGCTTCTCTGCACCTAGTGGGCAACAAACTGGACCTCCATCCTGGGCTGGGGGTAGGTGGGCAGCCATCTTCGGTAGGCCCCAAAGTGGGAATTTTGCTCACAGATTCAAGAAGGCAGAAAGGTAAAATGCATAGTGAAGAGAAAGCAAATGTGGTTTAATTCCTTTCATCTTTCCTAACGGTGTTTATTCTGTTGAATTCCAAGCTGCTTTTCCTTCATTTCCTTTTTTTTTTTTAACAAAAAATAAATATACCCTTTCTCCCCCCCGCCCACCCCAATTCTTAAATACATCATATAGTAGTGCATAGTTGAGAGGCGTGGTGGCCTAGTGGTGAAGACGCTTGCCTCCCATTCGGAAGGTTGAGAGTTCAATACTAGGTAGTGACAGATGTTTCTCTCTCAGGGCACGAAGAGAAAATTATCTGCTGCAGACTCCCTCCACATAGGCATCAGGAAGAGCATCTGGCCAGTCAATGCTCAGCTCCATTCAGTTCTCTCGGAATCTACCCTGAATTAAGGGATTACAGGGTCGTAAAAAGAAAAAGAAATTAGTGCATGGTTGATCAAGTAGTCCAGCGTGTTCCTCCTTCATGAGACGAGCATTGGCAGGAAATGGGTGGAGAGATGTTGCCAGCGGGTCCTTGTCCCTCGTCGTGGCAGCCCTTTGCTGTTGAGGGAGAGGAACATGGGTCGCCCTTCGTGGTGCCAATGGAAAGAGGCGTAGGTATTGTAGCCGTTCTCTTCAATACGTTCCTTGAACTTGCAGTTGGGGCTGTATGCTTTCTACGACGGCACGAGAGACAGACAGAGAAGGAGAAATGTCTTTGAATGGGTTTGTGAAGGAAAAGCAGAACTGAAAATCTGGTTTACTAGATTTCTCTTGCCTTTGGGCTCAAGGCAGCTTCTGTGGGGATTGCCTCCATTTAATCTCTCCCACAGTTACTTTGTGAAGTAAGGATAACTGAAAGAAAGTGATTTCCTTAGCCCTAGCCTTTCCTTAACTTGTCTCTCTATGTCTGTCTGTCCATCCGTCCATTCATATCCATCCTATCCATTCATATCCATCCTATCCATTCATATCCATCCTATCCATCCTTTCTATCTATCTATCTATCTATCTATCTATCTATCTATCTATCTATCTATCTATCTATCTATCTATCTATCTATCTATCTATCATCTATCT